CCCTTTCACAGGGGTCGCCTAAGACCATCGGAAAACACATATATAATTACATATTGTTTTTGTGATTAATCACTATGCTTTAATGATGTTCAGTTTGTCACAATGAAATTGGGGGTCACCACCACATGAGGAACTATATTAAGGGGTCGCGGCATTAGGAAGGTTGAGAACCGCTGGTTTATGGCCTCAGGTTTCCCTGGAAACACTCCTGTGAATTAGCAGGATCTCCAGGCACAGGCACTGGGCTTCCTAAGTCCGCCTCTCCCTTCGCTTCCTCTCCCCCAGGGCCTTCTGCTCCCCACTCGCAGCCGCCCCCCGAGGTCTATGTGAACCTGGTGAAGGCCTGCCGGTACCCCGGGCATCTCTCTCCTTCCTTCTGCGAGCTGCAGAGAGACTTCGTGAAGCACCGGCCCACCAAGCTGAAGAGCCTCCTGCGGCTGGTCAAACACTGGTTCCTGCAGGTGAGGGGCTGCGGCGGGGCGCGCGGGGAGGTGCAGGGGAGAGGGAAGAAGAGGCAGCGGCCAGACAGGCATCGCAGGAAACTGCCGCCAGGAGAAAATGGAGGTGGCGAGAGAGAATGCTAGTGTCATGAAATAGAAAGTGGAACAATGAAGAAGCTAGAGAGCCCAGCCGGCCAGCGTGGACCTATGAACCAGAAGGTCACGGTTCCATTCCCTGCTGGCTCGATCCCCCACATGCGATGTCTGCATGGTATCATGCATATTTCAAAATATCCATATGACACCTGAAGCTAATATAATATTGAATGTCAACTGTAATTGAAAAAAGAAAGATTATTAAGGGAAGTGGTATATCTCTTTAAGATATGTCAGGATGTATATATTTATTCCTGGAGAGATTATCCAGAATGAAGTTTATATTCAGTTTTACTTACCTTGTAGTTTTATTTTTTTTAAATAATTGATTTTTGTTTGTTTTTTGTATATTTTTATTATTGATTTTTTTACAGAGAGAAAGGGACAGGGATAGAGAGTTAGAAACATCGATGAGAGAGAAACATCGATCAGCTGCCTCCTGCACACTCCCCACTGGGGATGTGCCCGCAACCAAGGTACATGCCCTTGACTGGAATCGAACCTGGGACCCTTGAGTCCGCAGGCCGACGCTCTATCCACTGAGCCAAACCGGTTAGAGCTTACCTTGTAGTTTTAAAATAAAAATGATATAAGGTTTATGTACACACAACAATCCAGATGAATAGTCATCTAAACTTGTGAAAGAAGGGCTCAAAAACACAAAAATTAGAAAAATAAAAAGACGCGTTCTAATTTTTAAAAATGGTAAGAGAGTCAGATTTCAGAAGGACTCAGTTAAAAATAATAATAAATGTATTGCCCTGGCTGGTGTGGCTGGGTTGGTTGGGCTTCGTCCTGTGCATGGAAAGGTTGTCAGTTCGATTCCCGGTCACGTCGATGTTTTTTTTCTCTCTCTCTCACTCTCCCTTCCTGTCTCTCTAAAAATCAATTTAAAAACATTTTTAAAAAGAGTAAATGTATTGAAAGATAAAAAATCAGAACATTGCCAAGGTCAGTGAGTTTACAGTTAGTCTGTTTATGGTGGGAAACCAGCAGTTTCTTATGTGACTATGATATCAACCAGGGTTGTGAAATATCTTTAGACATTAGCATTGCCAAAGCCAAGAATAAAATTGTTTTTGCTGGTAAGACATTCACTTAGAGGAACTGATCCAAGGGCTTGTGGCTTGGAGAACCGAGAGCTCAATGGAATGGTGTGTTTGCTCTGTTTGTTGCAAAGTGCTTTCTTCCTGAATATGACACGCACGTTCATGTGTAACGTCTGTCTGAGGGATAATGTTCAGCTTCACTTGGACAGCCCTCCCTGCTGTTCAAGCCTCTGCCCCTACGTCAAGGATTCGACCACCTACGGTTTTCTGAAACTGTTATTTGATTCAGTATTATTAATTTGATGTTTTCTTTTATTTGACAAGTTTTATCCAGCTAAGCGTTACAAGATGTGTTGATGGATACATAAGGACAAAAGAGCTTGTATTGTACGGTAAACAAAACGAGTGTCCCATGATGCTACAGGGGCTCATAGTTCCTATCAGGAAGTTTGGTAAAGTCCCTGGTGTCAGCATCGACTTTGATGACTCAGTAGTATTTTAGAGTTCACATCAGTTCATGGACTGGGGTCAAGGACCAAAGGAATGTGTTGAGAAGCCGGAACTGGCGTGCTGAAATTACAAATATGCAGAGTAGGACCTGAGAAGGAGGGGTCAGCAGGTAGTTCCTTCAATATCGAGCTCCCACCTGGGGAAGTGGAACTCTCAGGGTCATGTTGATTGAAGGTGCAGTTTCAGTATACCTACACAAAGGCCGCAGCCACAGGATTTATTACCTACAGATCCCGGAAGCAAGAAGGTGAAATGAGCCGAAGGGGCGGGGCTGCCCTTCAGTCCAGATCATGAGCTAACAGGGCAGCAAGCACTCATTATTCATAAGGTACTTAGGGCGGGTCACTCATTTTTCTCAGGCGCATTTTTTTTTTTAATTGTTGTTTTAGAGAGAGTGGAAGAGAGAGGGAGAGAGAGAAACGTCGATGTGAGAGTGAAACATCGATCTCAGCTGCCTCTGGCACGCCCTCTGCCTGGGATGGAGCCTGAGACCCAGGCATGTGCCCTAATGGGGAATCAAACCCGCAACCCCTCAGTGCATGGGAAGACACCCAACCAATTGAGCCACACCAGCCAGGACTAGTTGAGCTTTTGACTTAAGTTTTTTGTTTATTTGGGGGGATTTTTTTGCCATTTTAAGTGTACAGTTCAGTGGCAATTACATTCACAATGTTGTGTAAACACAACTATCTATTTCCAGAACTTTCTCATCCCTCCTACAAACAGAAACTGTACCCATTAAACACTAACTCCCCATGCTACCCTCCCCCAGCCCCTGAGAACCACCATTCTACTTCCTGTCTCTATGAATTTTCCTATTCTAGCTTCCTCATATAAGTGGAGTCATACGATATTTGTCTTTTTGGTCTATCTTATCTTGTCCTTGATTTGTAGTAGTGGCATTTGATTATCACACCTAATTGGATTAAAGTTCTGGCATAAACACAAATTTATTTATAAATTTGATATATTATTATCGATTTATTGATAAATTGTTTTCTCTAATTCTATCCTGGTAGGAAGAAAGACAAATTTTTATTGAGCTTATGTAAATACTGTGTAGTATTTACATTATGTAAATACTGCATAGTCATGGAAACAGGAACTTAAAGTCACTTTGTAAATATTTAATCATCATTGTAAGCAGGTCCTATATATGCTATAATTTTGCAAAATAATTCTTTGTGTTTTTTTTCTGAGGAGTTTTTTAAAATTAAATCTTTATTGTTCAGATTATTACATTTGTTCCTCTTCCCCCCCCATAACTCCCCTCCTCCCAGTTCCCCCCCACCCTCCGCCCTCACTCCCGACCCACTGTCCTCATAATAGGTGCACGATTTTTGTCCAGTCTCTTCCCGCATCTCCCACACCCCCTTCCCCCCCAAGAATAGTCAGTCCAATCCCTTTCTATGTCCTTGATTCTATTATGATCACCAGATTATTTATTCACTTGATTCTTAGATTCAATTGTTGATAGATGCATGTTTGTTGTTCATAATTTGTATCTTTACCTTTTTCTTCTTCTTCCTCTTCTTAAAGGATACCTTTCAGCATTTCATATAATACTGGTTTGTTTCACTTC